TGTTTGCTTGAAGCTGAAAAGCTGAATTTGATGATGTTTATAAAACGCGAGATGAAACGCGAAGCGTGTCATTGAGCGCAAGCTGAAATGATCCACTAAAAACGTTTGATTGCGCCCGCAGTTACTGCGGCGATTAAACGTAACAAATAATAAAAAACACCGGCGAGAAGCGGTCGCGCAGCCAGCACTCCGTACAAGCCCAATGGATTAATGATGAAAATGAGTTTGTTCACCCGCTGTCGGATGAAATTATCGGCATCGTCAAAGTCTACTTAAAACCCACTCATTAACAGAGCGGAGTAATAGAGCCGCGCGCGCGCGCGCAGAAGACATTCGGGGAGCTTGCGCGAACTAACAAGCGACACGGCGCACCGCAACGGAATTAACTCCAGCGACGCTAAGACAAGCGCCTTAAACTTGACGGTTAATTGGCCGCGCGTCGGCCAGCGCGTGCGCCCATAAACATCGATGCGAAATTTATGCAAAACTGTACGCGCGAGTTTACGAGACACGTGGGCGCGAGCGAGCCGATTAATTATAAATTAGCCGTTTCTGTAATAGTCCATAATAGCGACGATAAATCGCGCACCCCCCGCGCGATAAGCTTTCGATCGTCCGTGACAGGCCTTACGGACCGCAACGGTCGCGATGTCGCGTGCAGTCTAATCTCCGTTCGATGGCTTTGCAAATAATTCGGACGTAATGCGAAAGTCAATTGTATTGAATCCCGACATAATTGATCCGTTCATAATTCATAATGCAAAGTTTCGTAACCTTCAAACGTCCGGATACCTTCGGCAGCATCCTTATAACGAATCACCGAGGGATTTTCCGCGGTGGACAATGCCAGGCCTCGCTGTAGACATCTGCGAGCAGGCCTCCAAGCCTAGGTTTTCGGTCTCGAACGAACAGTCCCGCAGAAAAAGAAAGTTTTATCGGATAGAGTTGGCTTCGACGAAGAAACGAAAGTGACAGCGCGTCGACAATGGTGTCTGTCCGTGCGTTTGCGCGCGCCGACGTATGTAAATGCTCTGGAGATTTCCGCCTGTCGATCTATCGGTGCTTTTTTTATTTCGGATCGCGCGACAGTGCACGAAACGCAGCGCGGCTCGAAACGTCAACCGTACGTATAACATCGCCGCCGCTCCAGACAACATAAAGACCCCGTTGGCGGTTCACGGGTACGCAGCCCCACGGAGCACCGATCGAGCGGCGCACGAGAGGCAGCAAATAAAGAGTCTCTCGAATCGGCTCGTAGCACACGGCGAGAGAGAGCCTTTTGTCGAACGTTGTCGCGCGAGCCGCCGCTTTTTTCCCCCCGCTGCGCGCTACTCCTCGCTCGCGCGGATAATTGTGTCAGTCCGCGAGATTCCGCGGAGTGCGCGCTCGCGCGCCCGGAGGCGGCCGAGCAAGTGCGTCTTCTCCTTTTTCTTTTCTCTACCTGTCTTTTTCCTCCTCCTTCTTCTTCTTCATCTGCGCTCGCAACTCAGATCGAGCGCGCGAGTGTCAACAATTCCGTGAATTCGGCTTACTGTGAAAATAAATTAAGCGGCCGCCGGCTTTTGCGAGCAATTTTTCCGACCTTCGTTTTCTCCCTCGTATCTCGTAATTCTGGCAGCTACGTTTTACGACAATTGTCTTGCGGTCTATGGGAATTTTTATTCTTTGATCTTCCTCAAAACATTTTGGTTTCGCTTCTTATTTTCTTTTTTTTTTTTTTTTAATAGTACACCAAGTAACAATTGTTTCGAAAGCTTACGAGTACCAATTTCACTTCCTACATCTCGTTAACGGATTTTATCGCCGGCTGCGCGTTGCGCTTGGCAAGCAATGATCGGTAGGAGAAGAAAAAAACAAACGGCACAATAAGCGATCGCAACTCAGCCGATCGTCGGCACATCGAGGTGCGCGAAAAACGAAGGCGCTTTTAAACAGCCGCGGCGTTCTAAATGTGCGAATGATATCTCGTTTTTGTCGGGGCGCGCAAATTCATCGAGCATACAACGCCTTTGCATCGGTATAAAACCACAACTCGAGAGCGAAAATCCTTCGCGAATTGCACTTCCGACTTTCCACTTGTTTCCTCGTGCCGCGATATGTATATTATTATCCGGTCGACTTGCCGATCGTCGGCGAACGTGACCGTTGCTTTGTGAATTCCTTACGTTGCGGAATAACCAGAAATGGTTAGGTATTCAATGAATTTTTCGCTGCGAATATAGCGGAGCAATTTTATGGAGTGTTAATGTAGTTTCGATATCATTGCATGTTGGCAGATTTGTCGGTTAATAAATGCAATTTAGCCGAGAGTCTGCACAGCTTATAGCGCATGCGATGCTATAAAGAGCGTAACGTTTTATTTTTGCTGGAATATAGGCCAATTTACTATATAAACCTTTATGACGATGTAGAAGCTGTTGCATTCCTTGTAAATTGGAGCTGAAAGTATCTTTATAATCGATAAATACTCTCTCTCTCACTCACTCACGAATGCCGGCTATAAACTCGGGATAGTCCAATTTTCTTATGTAATTTAGGAAGTCTATAGCATAAAGTGTGTTGAAATATTTCACAGATATTGCCTTTCATGCTCGAGTCATTTAAATTATCGTTTACTTATGTGCACCTATCCAATTTTCCAATTCTTTGGTAAAAAAATAAATGTTGTGGAATAGTGAATTTGTAACATTTTAAACAATTGAAATATTAAATCCATGTATCGCTAAATGTCAATGTAGATTGCTTGTAAAGTTATTCATGACCAAGAGCTCTTTTTTTTTATTTATTCATAGATTATTGACTTTTCAAAAACAGGAATGACAAACATTTTTTTACATTGCATCATAAACCCGATAAAACCTAGCTTTCAAATCACGTATCGGCCGCATGTACCTACAGAGTGCAATTATCAAGCTTATCATTTGCAAGATTTCAAAGATTAATGTTTACTAGAAATAGTAGTGAGTGAAAAATACGCAACGGGGAAAAACGGGACTCTTCTCTTAGAGCGCAACATAAAATTCCGACAAAAACGCGAAACCACCACAATTTTCACACCTATAACAATCGTCGCCACACTAAAATAATATAACGAGGTTCTCCAATATATAACGCAGCGTCCAGTATACAACCAGTTGCGATTTTGTCCCCGGACTTTTCGCGGAGCGCAAACGGGGATTTATATTTACGACGGCGATAATGGCGAGAGCAGCGAGCTTTTGAGCGATTCTCTTAACGACTCTGCGCGCGCTGAATTTCCTCAGTTTCCGCGGACGTAATGCGCCTATGTAGCTGCGCGCGCCTATTGCTAACGATTTACGAAGAGCGTCGATAATGAAGCGAACGGCAACGACGCGCAGAACAGATTTCATTCCGTTTCTGCAAACTGCTCGTCGAGAAGTTGATTGTAAATTGACGTCAGCGTGGATTACAGTTGTTTCGGTGTCCGATTCAATATCAATTGTCACTTTTTACGTACCGGAATTATTATTGTGCAATCTTTTGAGAGGACGGAGAACTAGCAGTTTTCGTGAAAAGTCTCTTATTTCGCGGGAAGAAAAAGGCGGTTTCTCTGAAGTTAAAATCGATTATGGCCGGGCAGGTATTTTCTCGACTGATCGGAAAATCGCTTCCAATTTGAGCATTTAACAAAAACGTAATGCTACGATGTAGTTAGTTTTAAACAAGGAATGATAAATTATTCAGGATAAAAACGTACGTTGCGGCACGTAGCGGACGGCTTAGAACGACTGAGCTCTGATAAACTCCGCGAGCCGCTAGAAGTGCTGTCAATTAAGTATACAAAAGATTACGACATTTCACCGGCAAGTGTTACTCGCCAATTAGATGCTATACATATATATCCGGCTAAAAAAAAAATACGTATATGCGTAGAAAGTGGCAAATCCTAGAAACTTTGCGGAGGAACAGTTAGCTGCACTCAGCGATATTATTAATTGCCAGTCTAACGTTCCTCCTCCCACAAAGCCCAGATAAGTAGCTTCAATTTGCATCCTCTTAAAAAGCATCCCTCCATATTTATAAGCCGACGTGAAAAAGTAGTGTAATCGATAGCAGGTGTTAGACGGGATCACTCGGATCAAGTTGCACCGGCGCATCGGAAGTGGGGCGCTTATATGCGCGCGCTGCTATCGCAACGACGGAACGCGGACTAGGCGTAAAGACGGCGCGATATAATTGGCCGCGCGGCCACAGTCCTAGCTAATGCAATTAACGACCCCGGGAGACGAAATATCGCAAAAACATATACGAGATACGCGGTACGCTACTGTGCGCCTCGACGTCGCGCCGCGCTGCCGCTGGGCGATCGGCTCTTCCCTCTTTTTGGGATTCGCCCTGCCAGGGAAACCGTTCCGCCGTTTCTCATCAGTTTCATTAATGCAGCTTGTTCTTGCACTTATCGAAATTGATACTTGTGAATGTTAATTGACACGAGCCCATTCGAGGTGCGCAGTAAATTGCTCCCCTCGTCGTATATCTTGCTTCGTGACAAAACCGTTTAACGTGTAGTTTCTATTTCAAGCGATCTTGTCATAAACGTTATGCGCGTGAACTAAATAATTTTACGCGGTTTCTACTTTCTACCAACGTTCATTTTATAAATGTAAATAAAATTAATGCGGCGCGCTCGTGCCAGCTGCAAAATTCAAGCCTAAGCATTGAATAGCATAGGTCGTCAAGTTCCAGATTTTTCTAACAAATCAGACATTACGTAATCGAACGATTTCCAAGCGCGATCAATGTCATTTTTTTGCTATATTCAGAGCTACATTAAATATCTTTTATTTTCATGGAAATATCTGTGATTCAAATGTAGTATTTCAACAGTTCTATCGCACCCGTAATACACGTATAGTCAATTTTACAACTAATCAGATATAGTATATTTCTAGTTTTTTCATCATTGCCAAAAGCACTATTTTTGCGCTCGAATAAAGTTTATTCGCAGGGAGATATATCTAAATACATAGTATACCAACCTTCCAAGCTATAATCGTGATCCTTGACCCAATTATTTTCAAAATCCTTGATCCCTGCAATCTACGACATCGTAACTTTAAATTCGACACCATTAAACCTCCATTGTCTAATCCTCGAGCCCTGTAAACAGCAAGACTATAACCCTTGTACAGAACCTTGTTGAATAGCCCTAGTTTTAGTAGTCATTTTTTTTTTCATTTGAAAATTTATGTATAAGCCATATGATCCAATGAATTTTATTGAAAAATCACTTCTTTAATAGACTTGTAAATTAAACAACACTATTACTAGTATATTTGAATTAGTCACTCCAAGCATATTAGTCATATGTTATTCTAACTACCTCTTTAAAAAATTTTGTCGTGTACTATACCACATTTTCAATAATAATATATGTTTATTTCTTCTATGCAAATGAGTCTATTAATTCATTATACATATGTACATATATCTCTACCTACGTTGTATATAAATCTATCCACAAACACATTTCATATGAAATTCGCTATAAAATGAGTCTCTCTCTCTCAGTCTGTGTTCAATGCAAGTTTTCTTTGTATGTATACTTGTTTATGAGAATTAATTTAAAAATCCTTTGATAAAACACAAATTTTTCTAGTTAATGACTATTCGAAAATATGCAAGTATCCTAAAGAAAACCTTGAAACCCTTTGCATATAATTTCGCAGTCAATCAAATAACAAATACACACGCACACATTAGTTTTCTGGAATCAGGTTGATTCAGTTTAACTCGTTTGATCAAATCAATTAGTTAAGAATACAGTTTAGAAAATGCAATAGGGCAAGATTTTTTTTCTATGACGACGAGTACCTTGTGACAAAAAGCTTCTTTTCACAGTATTTATTGGTTGCTTTACATAACGTACCATAAGATTTTGTCCATCGTCCGTGATACTGGCTTTTCTATAGGCTTATGAAATGTTTTGCATATTCATCACCAATTTTTCTTAATTATAATTGTATGATATGTAAAAGACAAAAAGTTATGAGTGACTGTCTGTACGACATTTCTGAGGAGGTTGGTAGATCTGACTTCTTTTTTATTTCATTTACTTACACTGACAACATGACTTACACTGACAACATCACAGTTTCGAGTGATACACATTACCCGTACATCTTTTAAAAACACGTTTTCAGATTTTTTTGTAGTCAAAATTTCTATAATAAAAAATGTTTTTAAAAAATAAATCACAGGATTTTGTAGCTAACCGACTAATAAACAATTCCAATTTACAAGTTTGGTTAAAGTCTAGGTGGCCATATCACCTTACTCCTCTTTACATATAAAAAAGTTGATCTGCACTAATAAATAATGCAAACATTATTTCCTATATGACAATGCAATGACGAAAATGAAAACAATTTCTAGGAATGTAGGCATTAAGTATGAATGTATAACACATTGATATATCATTGAACATTTTTTCATAGATAAAACATTATCACACTGATACAATCAACTTTTCTTATCTTGTTTAAAATTGCAGGAAATATCTATCAGAAAATTATTTTCATATTAATATTTGAGAGCTAAGTTTCAATCAGCTTCAGTCATTACGTTCGTGATTTTCGCGCAATTTTGCCTTTTACTGAACATTGCATAAAAAAATAATATTAGAGTAGTAGTTTTCCATGAAATGTTGATCTAGACTTTTGTTATCTCTATTTTATTTGCACCGATTATTTGAATTTCTGTTTTCTACTTTCAATGTTCTACGATTGATAACGTGATATGACATTGTAATGGAGCTTAGAATCCTGTGGCTGCTACCTCTTGCATTACTTTTCAGTTATTTGTCTTCTGGATACACTATGAGTCGCGATACAATGAAATTAGAAGTTGTTCAAGCTGTGAGTATATTGTGTACTTTTATTGTAATAAATTAAACATGTGCATTTATCTGCAAAACCAGTATTACCTTTAATAATATATTTCGGAATAATTCATACTTTAGCTTTTCAGACATGGAGAACGAGCTCCGCAAAGATATGAATACAACATTCTGAACTACCTGAACGTCTCTGCTTATGAACCTTTTGGATTAGAACATCTGACTAATGTAATTCTTGATGACTGCATGTAATTTCATTTCCAATAATTCTGATTAATTTCAGACTGGAAAAATGCAGGCTTTTAAGGTTGGGCAAATGTTGAGAGAGCGGTACAAAAATTTCCTTAATGATAAGTACAGTTCAGAAGACGTTTATGCACGCTCGAGTGAAAATCCACGTACCAGAATGACACTACAACTCGTATTGGCAGGTCTGTTCCCGCCAACCAAAGAATTACGATGGAATCCAAAATTAGATTGGATGCCGATAGCGTACAGTTATTCTCCAACAGAACTAGATGCCCTTTTGAAAAGTCAACTCACCAAAAAGTATAACATTTATGAAGTAACAAATAAATAACATTTATAATTGTACCTTACTGATACATCTATTTTATTTAAGATTTTATAAACTTTATGATGATCTATTCGAAACATCTTATGGTATAGAAACACTAGCTTCAAACAAGGACATTTTTGATCTACTGGATAAACATAACTACAAAGTTTCAACAACTACAGTAACTGATTTGGCCGCGGTTCACAATATTCTACTTATCCATGTAAGTTTCTTTAACATTCTAAGTTATTTATATTTATATTGAGTTTCTCTACACGTACGATTTTCTACATATTTATTGCTTTTCACGTAGGAAAGGCTGCATCTTCCATTACCAGACTGGTACACAGATAACATTAAGCAAAGATTTGCAGAAATTTTTGAACTCTACCACGACACCCAGTCCTATACGAAAGAAATGAAACGACTTAATGGTGGTCCGATAATCAAGACATTCATTAATAATATGAATCTCAACAAAACAACTAAAGATCCGAAAAAATTGTATTTGTACAGTGGACATGACCTAAATGTGGGAGCGGTCATCAGAGCTTTGAATGCCCGCGACTTTCACAACTCAGATTTTTGCAGTACACTAATTCTAGAAAAGTTGAGAGATTCGAGAAATCAAGTTTACGTGAAAGTAAGTAGAGTTTTTCGAATAGCTAAATTTGTATATGCCAATGATGATTATCTTCCCATGAATTATCTCATTTGTATAGTTACTTCATTGGGATGCAATCAAAGAGGAAATGGAAACAGTCAGAATTGGTGACTGTGACGAAATATGTCCGATTGATAAATTTTTGGAACACACTCGCGATGTGATACCAACTGAAGAAGAATTATTTTCTATGTACGATGAATACGATATTAATTATGTTAAAAAATTTTTTGTTTAAGTGCCCAATCTATCGATAGAGGTGCCTAAAGGCAACATCAATAGTTAATAAATAGTTTCGTTTTCAATGCAACTTCACCGCAGCGTTCTATTGAAAAAGAAAGAACTGTATATATAGTGTCCGAAAATGACGATGCTGCTATTAGCAGCAATAGATTTTGAAGCGTGAAAATACGGATATTTTGAAGTCGATCGGCGATAACAATGACGTATGAAATATTTTTCTTCCAATTGCTTTTACTTTTAACAAAAAATGACAGTTACAGCATATGTACATTTCAGTATCCATATTCTATACTTTAGTCGTCTACTGAAACGATAGTTCTTAACAGAATTCTGTGTAGAAAAGGATTTGTCAATATAACGATCGCATGATAATTCGTGTCGTAAATATATTTTTCACTAGTATTAACAGTTCCTACAATAGATGTGTTTGGCAATTCGTCATTCATATATACTTATTTAATTTAACTGTTATCGTTCTTGAAACTAAATTGCTTTCGCATCATAGAGATCTCGTTCTTCCATTGGAAGAGCGATAATACACTCGAACGGTCGAAGAAGGAAAGAAAAAAGCGCAACTCGCTACGCGCGCTCATGTAACGGAAGCCAACGGGACAATTGCGAGCGGTTCAAAGACGCGTTATAATTAATTGTAATTGAGCTGTGACGATGCATTGTGTTCGACTTGCGCCAGTCCAGTACTAATTGCTCAAGAGAGGCCTAATTCGCGTTGCTTTCACGCACTGTCGTATGGATCATCGATGAATACGGAAAGAGCACTTTCCATCATGTAATTGGAGAGATTATGTGTGTCCGAAGAGATAAGCATCACGAAGGTTACAAGGTAAGCAGTTGGCAGATAGACGTAGTGTCGACCTTGAGGGAGATTGTACCTTGATTTACTTACTTTACCAGAGCTTTCCGTTGTTTTAACGAGGAGGATGGTTCACTTTTCCTCTAATCAAAGAATCATTCTCTATGCTCATGAATAGTTTACAGTGGACAGGAGCCTTACACATTATTATGCGCGAGTTTCGATGTACACGAGTAAAACTTTCGATCATTTTCTTTTGTGCGCTCCGATTCCTCGCGATTGACTTTGCTTTAAGATTCAAGATCATAAATATTTGACGGCTATTTTTGTGCATAAACATTGTACGGTTTTTATTATAACTGAATATGCATCGAAGATGTGTTTGATGAATATGTGAGAGCGGATCTGTAACTCTACTTTTTCTCCGAGCGCTTGTTTACATATCGTTACAAGTTTTCAGCGAAATAATACCGAGCGAAGGAAAATCGAAATAAAAAAGCGTCGATGATACGTAAGCGCAAGCAAATGCAAACAGTCGAACGGTGTGCGCCTTCGATCGCGTCTACTTCGGCTCATAATAAAATCATGAATAATCTCTTAAACTCGCTCAGCAGCTATTATGACTTGGAGCACACTGTTGACCATCCTAACAAACGTTTCCCGTTTTCTCCCCCGTCGTAAAATCACAAAACATCATCGTCCGGAACTGCCTGGCAAAACAACAGCGACGAGAAGGCCTCGAGTAGCTTGGCAAAAGAAAGAAAGAAGGAGAAAAAAAGAGAAAAGTCTCGGCCATTCAGCGGAAAACGGAAGCCGCGAGGTACTCGTTCGGAGGCAACGTTTACAGCGGCGTACACGAAACGAAACACCAATAGGGGCTGGCTCGCGCCATAAATCTCCGATGCAGGAAATTGCTTTTGGCCTGTCATGCGCAACACAGTTGTTCGAATTAGATGTGTACGGTAGCGAGGAAAACGTTTATGCATGCGAAATTGTAACCGTCTCTCTCTCTCTCTCTCTCTCTTTCGGGTACAGACAATTTTACGGTGATGCGCTACTTGGTTATCGGGAGAGCAGCGCGCTCGCGCGCGCTTTGGCTTTATCGGGTGGAAAAGATTTTATAGCTCAATTTATTGCCTTAAAGATTATTCCAATCAAGTTTTACTCGTTTTGCGAAATATGAAGAGATTAGGATGTAGAAAGTATGATGGGTAATATGTGAATTTTAAGCTTTTGTTTTCACCACAAAAGAGACGGAGAAAATTCAGTTATGCAAAGTGAAAAACTTTAGCGAAATATGTTTTGAATCAGTCAATTACGCTCACGCTAACAACATTTTTTTTTTCGGTCCACTACCTATAAAAGGAGAATTCCGTCTTATCGTGAATATTTTCTGAAATAATTTCTGAACGAATTAAGTCCCAACAGAATGTCATTATAAAAACTTATCTATTATGATTCGTCTTTGAAATAACGTATGAAAAATATTCTAGTTTGCACGTACTTAAGTTAACTTTCCAAGCAATAGATAAAGTATAATTACAAACACTTGATTGAAATGTAGCATTAGGTAGCTAATGAGTTTTGTTCAACATTGATCACATGTAATATAGACCCATCCTACCTATAAACCGGAATACTAGGAGATGCCGACCCAATCCGCGGGTCGGACGATTAACTGGCGGAATGTCGCGTGACTAATTACTCCCCAAGCAGCAGCGAGGAGACGGGCGACTCTATCTTCGCTCTGAAAAATCGCGCGCAGCGAGGCCTCGTTTCCGTCGGCACGAGCACTCCACCTTCTCTTCTGCGCGGCCAATTGACGGATAGCGATGTTTTTAGTTCTGTCCCGCGAAGTATGTGCGATCTTATTTTCGCTTGCTCTTACGGCGAATTCCTCGGAGAAAAACTCGGTATTTGTGTCAATTAAGATGCATTCTATAAATCCCAACTCTGACAATTAATGCTGAGGACGATTACGAGTGAAAAATCATTCCAATGAGCCGTTTGAGAAATAATTTTAGGCTGGCGAGAAAACAATTAAGAAAAAATGCATTTACTTTGATGCTCTGTCGTGAACTATTATTCGGTTGTCCAACCGAATGCGTAGCTTGCCGAGCAGGTTTTCAATAGAGCGAAACGGCAACGTATGAGATTTGGATCGAACGATCCGCTCGTAATAGGGAAACAAGAGGCCGCGAGAACGCGCTCACCTGCTTGGTCGTCGGAGAGAACGAATCCGGCCTGGCTCGGCGCGTCTCTCGGTATTTCGCGGGTCGGCGGAGTATTTCGGTCCGGGGCGCGCGGAATGCGAGGCAAAAGCTCGGATAAAAGGCCGCGCGCGACGAGGCGAGGAGCAGCCGCGTGACAAGAAGCGCCTCCGCTCGCTCCCGCCGTCGCCAAGAATTCGGACACGAGCGCTAATGAGTTTAGGCGCTGTGCGCTCGGCTCTTTTCATTGCAAGTTAAATCCCTCTCACGCCACTTAATTTAACGCTTCTTTATTAAATCGCCGCACCACCGTTTGGCTGTCGTCTCTAATCGCGCCGCTGATCGCTCCAGTCAGCTTCTCTGTCGACGTGTCGGCATTTTAACGGACGCGTGCGCTTGCGTTGCGCGTCAACGGGCTTCTAACCATTGAATCCTAATATACTATTCATAATGATTTGTCGTAAATAACACATTTATATTTATGTGTCAAAATGATTAACCAATCTTAAATATATTAAAAAGAAAAGTAGGCTTTGCAGGTGTTGAGAAAATACTGTATGCATCTGTATAATAGTACTTCTTGGTTACTGTAAATGCAATTAGTGCGTTTATAGTTTCGGACGATAGGAGGATACTAGTAGTGAGTGTGCGCGCTGGAAATAGTTTCTGCACGAATATATTTGTTAGATATATACATTGAAGATGTTTTCGTTTATTTATTTATTTATCATATTCAATTGACTTGCTAGCCCATAACTTCATAATATAAGTGCTGCAAGTTGCTTTTGGCGAAAATGAAATCTACAATTAGATTATTCAGTTATGCAACGAGCGATACGGATACTAAAGTTCAACTACGAAAATAACACGTACTACTTCACACATATTACTTCACGAAATTGACGATAACAAATTTTACAACGAATACCTCTAATATATACCTTTTCAATATTGACGCATTCACTCCTAATAATTCTTCAACGGAAGTCATCTAAAATTATAATTGACATCCTTTTACTGGAATACGCGACGGAAAAGTGAACTTTCATTCCTCTGGTATAAATCAACAGAACTGAAACTATTACGTGGACGCTATTTTGGAAATGAAGAATAAATCTTGCATGCTAATAAATCAAGGAAAGGCCACTTTCCAAGTGTTTTATTGCTACGATCCGGCCGGGAAAAGCGTCAGTTTCGATGGCTTCCACAATTGCGAATAACAATGCAACAATTTGTATCCGCGCGAACGACTTAGCAATATGATTAAACCAAATCGTAAGTAAGCTAACGAGATCGTCGGCGCTCCGGCTTCATTGTTCGCGCGAGCATCGCAGTCTTGACCTGATTTTGCGAAAAATTGCAGGAAAGTTGCGCGCACAATGCTGCGTACGCGTGCACGAAAGTTAATCAGGCGCGCGCGCGCGCGCACTTTCGACTGTACGAACTCTCTAACGCGCGCGTTCTTTTTTTATGGTAATACGAGCATTTAGCGGCTTTAAGTGGGCAGCAGCCACGTACAAATCCTTTTTCTCGTGCCTCAATCACAAAAACTAACTCGATTCGTCGATTGCCATTAGCAGCTGTAACGATCATTGCTTCATGGCCTACGTCAATCAATCTGCATATGCATTTTATACAGTTGGCTGAGATGTTCAAAAGGTGCACTCGTGCAGTGTTTACATTAAATTTTCTGTTATCCCAATCTCGTTATCGTAGATTTTTTTTAAATTAGTATTCTTATACTTCTTTTTCTATTATTCTCTATGGTCTTTCGGCGCAATAATTAAGCAACATAAAAACTAAACTAAAATACATTTTTTTTTTGTACAATCTGAAATATTGCACATTCTTCTTATTTTTCTTAATAAAAAGTTAATAATAATATTAGATCGCATACAACATATATGCTTTACAGCTTCTTCTCTCATTTGGCTCTAAAGTGAGATATCGTATGACTTCATCCGTCCAATAGTTACTTTTTACTAAAGCGGTACAATAAAACGTGATGTACATTTTCCTCTCTTTTTTTCCTATGCTAATAGTATTTAAGAATATCTTGCGATTACGGAAAGCTATTGCACCAATTGATATATGAGACGTTTCACTTAAAATATAATTAAAAATACTATCAAAGTATACATGTTTAAAGCAAATAATATTTTTAACTTTTTATTTGAAAAAAAAAACAATTTAATTTTGTAATATTTCATAACAAATTGTGTATTTTTGTTGTTTCTTTTATTGTTTAATTGTCCTTCTGCAAGATGCCATTTAAAAATCTACTAATCCACGGCAAAATCTCCAAATTCCATGTGTTTAAATTTAAATGTTTTAAGTGTGCAAATGTGACGCCACCCATAAAAAATATATTGCCCATGAATTTAAATGTTTAGAAGTGTTTAAAATTGGTGACAATGTATTTATTATGAATGACGTCACATTGAACGTTTAAATTTAAACACATGGGTTTAGCGTGATTTATCTAGACTAAATAGTAACATGAAGTTATTCTGATAAAGCAACAGCGTGATAAAATTATTTTATTCAATGGTGTCAATATTGAGATTCTTGTTCTGTTACTCAAATAACATTTATATTTTCCTTTTTGGTAATAAATTAAAAAAAATACATTATTCATTCCGATTTCATTTAAATATTTAATTGAGCTGACGCATATGCAGAGCACACATTCTCATCGAATATCGTGAAATTTATGTTTCATTTGATGTTTTTTTTAATATAATCAACACTTTTTTATATCATTAAGTGACATTAATATTTTACTTAAAAATATCTCTTAAACGAGTTTTATCTTAAAAAAAAAATAATTTGGAAAAGTCGTCCATCGCGTACGCTCAACAGCGCATCAGAACATTGACTTTCGCGCGAAAAAGATATGACGCCGCAGACGGGTGAAACATTGGAGGAATTGGAGTGCGGATCGTCGATTTTTTAGACGCAAATGCAGATGAGCGACGCATCTTTTTAGCAAATGGTCGCAATTGCAATCAAGCGCAAATTTGACGTTACCACAAAACTGCGCGTCGCTACCGTCCTCGCGCGAGTTTGACGATTTATTTTGCTCGTGTCCGCGAAGTTTTATTATTACCAGAGCGTTTCACTCTCGCGCGAATTACGATTTCACATTTGCTTTGTAAATGCGCGTCAAGGTTCAGGTCACGATCTCGCAAAATCCTCTGTTTCTTGTGGCCTTTTAATACGCCAATTTCATCGAACGATCTGCAATTCATTGAGGGATTCGAGTGTATCGAGGTATGTACTTTCACTTGAGTCAACGCAACAGTAAATTAGTGCTTCTAATTGATACTCTTATTTGATTTGAAATCCATTTATTACGATACTTCCCGACAGTTTCACTTC